CGGCCCCGCCCCCGCCCGGGGGCTGTATTTAAGGACACCTGCACCCCCAAGCTCACCTGGGGGGCTGATTAAAGGTGAAAGAGGACTGCGTGTCTCCTTGTCATTGGGTACCTGAGTCTCCCTCTTGGACACTGCTTCCCCCCTGCCTCTTCCTTGATACCTTTCTCCCTCTCCCTCCTCCTCTCCCTCCCCTTAATTTGCCCAAGTCCTATAAACTTACAGAGCACATGCGCTGTTTGGAGCGCTCCTGAAGGGGCAGAGACCAAGCGGTGAGCCTCTTACTTATCTGCCAGTCTGAGTAGTTTACAAAGCCTTATGTTAATGAACTAATTAAATCATAGCAATTCGGAGACACAGGGACTCTGATAACCCCCTTTTCACAGGGATTGAAATGGGAGCTTGGAGAGATGAAGGAAGTAGTTCCTGGCCTCCAGGAACTGATTTTCCCGGCTGGGGAGATAGGCAGCCAAAAGTAATGGTTCGTGGTAAGTGATCTGTATAACCCAGGAGGAGCGAGATGGGAGGCTTTGGGGAGGAAGGAGAGCATGTAGAAGGAAGTGCTGTTTAAACGAAGAAGCCCAGAAGGCAGCCCTGAGGGAGAACTGGGGTGGGGTGGGAGCAGGAGCAAAGCAAAGATGGGAAGTGACGACCAGTTTGGGGCTTACTACTGTGAGGAGAGAGCCCAGCCTAGTTGGAAGGGTGTTGGGAGCTGAGTCAGTGGTAACACTCCCAGGCCAGGGAGTAATAACAATTCTGCATGCCAGGTGTGTCAGCTCCCTCTCTCACTGCATGCTCCCCACAGCCCAGCAAAGCAGGCGTTGGCAAGCTGCCACCCACTGCCTGTTTTTGGTAAATAAAGCCATATTGGAACACAGCCACGCTCCTTCATCTACATGTTACCTATGGTTGTGCTACCGCTTCAGCAGAGTTGAGACGGTATGCAGTCAAAAGATTTAACTGCCTGGTCTTGTATAGAAAAAGCTTCCTGACCCTAGCTGTGCTTTACAGAGGAGAATACTGAGGCGGGGAGACTAGTTAAGTTCACACAGCTAGTAAGAGGCAGCAGCTTGAGTCGAGGGTCTGTACTGTACTTCTGAATCCTGTGCCAGGACTGCTTCCCAGATCCCCTCAGGAGGTGGGACTGTACCGGGACTTACTCTGAGGCTGTGAACGGGGAGGGCGGGAGGTGACAGCTCTTGAGGCTCACCCTCTGGCTGCTAATTGAGAGCAGCCAAGGAGGGTGAGGGTGGCCCAAGGGAGGCTGTTGTTCAGCCGAGAAAGACAGTGCCCTGGGGCCTGGGTGAGTTTCTCTCAGCTATCTGTCTCTTCTCATCTGCTGTGGTCGAGCCTGTGGAGTCTCTCCATCGTTGTTTCCTCTCCTCTGGGGTTTCAACTTCCCCCTTCTCTCCCTGCTATTCTTAGGCTCAGGGGCCCTTGACTTGCTCCTCTGCCCGGGGACTGTCCTGGAGGAGGGACAGTGTGAGTGTAGAGCTTCCTTTGCCTGTGGGCTGAGCACCGTTGACAGCACTGGCAGGGTGAGTGGGCCCCTAGGCCCTGCCAGCCTTTCCCTAGATCTGGGTGTCACAGAGGGATGAGCTGGGGTGGGGTGGAGGAGGAGCTCACTTTGCAAGGATGTGCCATTACTGTCACCAGCCTACCTGTGGAGACACTGCTGCGAGGCCTGGCCCCGAGGGGCAGAGACAAACCACAACACAGCCACGGAGTGCAGTCTCTGCAGCCCTTGGAGGATGTGGCACATGGACAAGCGTGAACGTGTGTGCATATGCACACACACCTCTCAGAGCTGAGGCTTCTGCAGGACCCAGGATATATGGACTGTGACACCTGACAGCAGTCACAGTGTACACATACACAGAGGCAGAGTGTCACCCCCTCACACAGCCCAGCTGTGGAGCTTCAGACTTCAAAAGCAAAACTGTCACACGAATATATTCCGTAGGGTCATGGTCATCACATACCAGACACGGATTCAGACAGTGTCACACACAGACACGTCACAGCATTAGAACCCCATCAGGAAACAGCTCCCCCCCTCCCCGTTACACAAACATCCTCCATGGGGTCATGGTCATCGTGTGACCCATCGCAGTCCCAACCACACGCGGAGGTTTGACACATTGCAATTACTGGCTGCCAGCAGGTCATACCCACTGTCTGACATATCACTCCCACCACCACTTTTAGCCTCTGGAGTCCCACAGAGCCACTACCCCGTCACAGCCAGACATACTGTCACACCCAGGGTCCCAGACGAGACCCCCCGCCCCCCAGGGTCGCTGTGCTGGCAGCGCCGCATGGGCTTCGAGTGACACAGCCCGCCCACCTGCTCAGGCTCCCAGCTCTGCTGAGCTGGCGTGGCCCCTGTCCTGACACCCTGGCACCCGGGGCGCTGGGTGGCCCGGCTCAGATGGGACACGCCTGCGCCACCCTCACCGTCCTCAGGGGCAGAGCCAGGGGTTAGGGCGCACCCCCTCCTCCTGAGGCCCCGCCCCATCCTGCAGGCAGCCTGAGCCATGGGGGAAGTTGTGGGGGAGCTTGGGTTCCGGCTGGAGCCCTGGCTTCCCGTCCAGCCCCCACGGCAGGAAGCGGACAGGAGGCCAGAGGAGGCCTTCCTGACCCCTCCCCGGGACAGACCTGAGAGGAGGTCGACATGGAGTGAGGGGAGCACGGGGAAGCCCCCTTCTCCCTAAATCTCTGAATGTCAGGGTGTGGGTGTTTTGCTTCTAGTGTGAATGTCTTATCAAGGTGTTCAGGATCCGAGTGGGTGTGTTTGCAGCTTTGGGGATAGTCGTCTCTAGCACGGGTGCTGGGCTCTAACTCGGCAGCTCAGTGTGGATGGCGCCCTCATGAGCAGTGTCCCCAGCACGTGTTCAGCTGTTTGTGGCTTGCTGTGTTTCTGCTGAGTGCTTCTGCGGTGTTGTTTCTGCTGGATAGGCAGGGGTACTCTCTGTGGGTTCTGGCACTGTCTGACTGGTGAGTCTGTACAAACCAGTGGGTTGCATATCCATGGTGCGCTGAGTATCTGAATTTTTCTCAACATCTTCACAGTTCTCTTGGTGTAAATTTGTGCATTCTTAGTATAAGTTTGGTTTGAAACTTGAGTGTTTTCTGCATGTTTATGGGTGTGTGTGAGAAATATTTTCCAGGAGGTGTTGTGGCTTCTCTTACACATGAGCCATTTTTAATGCACGTGTGACATTTGAGTGTTTGTGGGTGAGTTGTTTCTGGGTTATTTTAGGGGTGGTGGTGGTGCTGGGATTGCACCAGGGCCTCACACAGGCTAGGCAAGCACTGTGCCACTCAGCTGCACCCCCAAACCTGGGTTACATTTTGTGATCAGTGTGCACTGCTGCTGTGCCGAGCACTTGTTTCCCAGATGGTGTGTCTGCAGCGTGACCACTGTGGCTCTCCCGACGGCTCTAGGTAGGCAGCTGTACTTTTAGGTGTGGCCTATGTCTGTGTGTGTCCATCCCAGGGACTGGTGTCCCCACCGGTGGCCTGGTGACTTCAGTGTGTAAAGAACTATGTGGGTCATCTTTGAGGGCACTGGAGGTAGGTGTGGGGCTGCACTGTGTGCTGGTATCTTCAGGGAAGAGGAACCTTATGTGCCTTCTGGTTTCTGTGCCAAGTAGAGGCTGGGTCTGTGGCGTCCCTTGCTGCCTGGTGCCACGCTGGCTTGGGGCTGGCTGTGGCAGTGGGCAGGGCAGGGGCTGTGGTGGGCACTGGCCCTGCGCCTGGTCTTGGTATAAATATCCCCAGGCTGCCAGCGGCTGTGTTTACTCGGCCCCAGGCTGGGGGCGGCAGCAGCCCAGCAGGTCCCGGGGGCGGGTGTGACCAGGCCACAGCACAGACGTTTCCTTCTGGCCAGACAGGCCCAGTCTTGTCCCCTCCCTGGTGGGGGCGAGGCGGTGACCCCTCATTCTGGGCTCTCAGGGGCCACCAGGGGAGCTCTGAGCTGGATGTCCCAGAAGGGTTTCCCCTAGTCTGGGAGACAGATGGTGGCAGGGAGGACAGGAAAAAATGAGGGCTGAGGCAAGGGGAGGAGGGAGAGTGGGATGGGGAAGCAGGTTTACTAAGACAGTGGCAGAAGCTCAGAGGCAAGAGACGACAAGAGAAACAGTGAGAGTAGGGTGAGCAGGCAGAGGCACAGAGAAAGTGAGGGAGAGCGCAGGAGCTCAGAAGGCTCTCAGTGATAGTGATGGCGAAGACACAGAATGAGAACATGGCACAGAGGCAGAGGAACAAAAGGAAACGGGAGAAGCAAAAGACAGTGAGGGACGGTCAGAGACCTCAGCAGACAGGAGCCGGGGGAGGAGGGAGTTAGCTGTAGTCTGGCAGGATGCACAGAGGTGTGGGACAAGGGCGGGTGGCGGCCGGCAGAGCGCTGCCAGGGCTGTGACACAGGAGACACGGGGGTGACAGCTGGATGCCCACAGAGGGGCGCTCTCAGCTGGGCCTTCCCTCCTGATTCAGCCTCTCCACCAGAACCGGAGCTCACGACCAGGGGGTGTGTCTCTCCAGTCCCTGCCTGATAGTCTGTCTCCACCTCTCTTCCTGTCTCCTCATCTAATCCCTGTCCCCGTGGCGGGCTCCACCTCTGTCTGTCAGCTGCAGACACTCCGTCTCAACCATCTGACTAACCCTGATTCTGACTCAACTGCTATGCCTCTCATCTCTCTTTTAAACAGTTGCATAACCAGATTTACATATGGAAAAGTATATCATAAACAAATTTAATGATTGAACCAAAGACTGGTCAAAAGTGGTATCACCGATAACTGATACCCGCTGCCATAAGAGTGCTTACTGAGGACACAAAGATGAATACCTGAGGCAAATGTCCTCAATCCTAGAGTTCCCGTCTGTCCACACGGTGTGACCTTTCGGGGTCTGGAGTTGAGCTGGCTGGACTGTCTTCAGCCTCACGGCCGTGTCCTGCTTTCGGACATGGAGTCAGTAGCACCAACTGCGCCTTTCAAAGGACAGTGCGGCGACCCAGCAATCCAAGCGCTGACTTACACGAAGATAGCCTGGTCCCACTGGCCGGGCGGTGTCCGGCAGTTCATTACCTGTCCTCCTACACACCTGCTTCCTCTTAAATCCTCCCATCTCAGTCTGCGTCCCTGCACCTTTGTCCAGCTGACATCAGACAGGCAGGCTCACAGAGGTTTCTAGCACTTGGTTCCCACTCTAGCTCTTCCTCTGAGGCCGAGGGGCCTGAGGAAGCAGGTCCTTGGGAAGGTCAGGGCCTCCCATACCATCTGATAGCCTCTATTTGAAGAGCTGTTTATAGAGGCTTCCTGATGGTGTCAGGCAGGTCTCTCAGGCTTAGCACAGGACCCAACTGCTCCGCAGCTAAAGCTTTCACTGTGTAGTAATCCCTCCAGCTGCACAGCCCTCTGCCTCCTTTTCAGCTTTCACTTGCATGTCTGGTTTTGATCCTGGCTGACTGAGGGCAGAGTCCAGGCCTGGGGTCAGGAGGGGCTTTTAAATCTCCTTCAGCCATGGACAGGGCAAGGTGCCACGTCTGTCTCGCAGAACTGAGGGGTTCCAGGTCCCAGCCTTGCCAAGCCCTGGCCCGCAGCTCCCCCTGCCCTCCCCTCCCTATAGTGGCCAGTCTCTCCTCAGTGTCTGCTGGGTGCGGGGCATGGGAAGGTGGGATGCCTGGGTTCCCACAGGCCATGGCTGAGTCACAGGCAGCCATCTGGCTCCCATTAGCCTGGGGCGGCAGGGGGCTCGGTGGGGCGGGCCCTGTGGCTGGCTGGGGCAGGGATGCTGGGGCAGCCTGTGTGTGGGATGACTCAGGACCCATGATAACAGTCTGTACACATTTGAGGAGTGTAAACAGGAGAGGGAGAGGGAAGGAGGCAAAGGAAGGGAAAACTGTCTTGGGCTGGGCTGGTCGAGGAGAGCCCCTCCTGCCCCTGCCCACACTTAAGCTGGCAGGCCCCGTGATCCCCAGTTCTGCTTCTGCCAAGCCCTCCTGGGTACCCTTGCTTGCAGTGAGGCTGCATTATTCAGCAGCCAGGGTTCTGCTGCCCACAGCAGTTAGGCCTTGAGAGGGAGACTGAAACCCAGAGATAAAGCTGACACAGAGGGACAAAGACAGCTGGGAGAGGAATGGAAACGTACAGGCAGAAAGAACTGGCCCGGAAAACAAGGTAGAAGGAGAGACGGGAACACAGCACAAGGATGGCGGTGCTGAGTGCAGGACTGGCACAGACACCGGCCGACAGACAGGCAGAGGTGGAGGAAGACTGAGGTAGAGCTCCTGGAGCAGCGGGAGGGCTGTGCCGGGTCCCGGCTGCAGCCACCCGGACAACTGGCCAGTTCCAGCCACGACAGGTCCCGCTGGCTAGGCTTAGTCAAGGAGAGGACGTTCTGTGGGAACAGAACCAGGGTAGGGAGTGGGGGCGGGAGAGAAAGAGAGCTGGGGAACAGACAGTGGCCAGAGATCAAGAAGGAGGGAAAAGGAGAGTCAGTGAGACAAAGAAACCCAGAAAAACAGCAAGAAGAAAACAGAAGTAGGTGACAGAGTGAGGAACAGAGAAAGAAGCAGGGGAGGCCTTGTAAACAGGTGGTGGTGTTGTCTGAGGTGAGACCCAGGGAGGCTAGTGGTGTGTGTGTGTGCATGCACGCGCGCACGGACCCGATACCCCCCAGAGAAGTCACCGAGCCGGCCTGTAATCAGCTGCTTGTTGGGGTGGGGTGGGGTGGAGGTGCTGGCTACAGGGGTGGCAGCCATCAGTCCCCGTCCAGCTCTGGGCTGGGTGCGTCTTCCGGTTCCTCTTCATCGAAGTACCTCTCTTCTTCATCCCGTGCCACAATGTCCAGGTTGTCGAAGTCAGGGTTGTCATCCACCGTGCTGCAAGGGGAGGAGGCTGTTAGCGGCACACACTGAGTCAATGACCAACTGAGGGACATGTCTGGGGGCTGAGAGGTCAATGACGGGTCTGTATCACTTCTTTGTTTTGTTTTGTTTTACTTTTTGAGACAGGGTCTCACTATGTAGCCCAGGCTGGCCTTGAACTCATGGAGATCCTCCTGCCTCAGCCTCCCGTGTGCTGGGATCACAGGTATGTGCCACCCCGCCTGGCAAGGGTCTCCACCACTCTGACTCTCTGTGGCACCTGGTTTGGGAGTGGCAGTGGTGCCAATTCACTGAGGTGCCCTCCAGCCTGAGTGCTGTTCACCACATTATGAGAACCCAGGGTCTCCTTTCTGGCAGGGATGGATCTTCCACATTTGGTTCTATAGGTGGGGGACCCAAAAATGGTCCAGTGATGCTCATCACTGGGTGCTGACTACAGGCTGGCCCTGCGGCAGCAGTAATCACAGGCCTCATCTTACCAAGGCACCCACCAGGGCCCATTTGTGGCCCTCCAGTTTATGTGTCACTAGGGCTGGAGTGTCCTCTGCTACCAGGCCCTTTGTTTGGAAACAGGAGACAAGACTGACTCGGATGACAATACCATTTAGCTTAGACTCTGGTACTGCACGGCTGTGTCCTTATCCTGAGGGCAAAATTCTTTTCCAAAGCAGGTAGCCCATACCCCTGCCCCAGGTCATTCTAGAAATGCCAACAACTTTCACTTTCAGTGGGGAGGGGCAAGGTGGCGGCAAGCATCACCACAGGCTCCTCCATGCTGGACAGCCACCCTACCAGAGATTAACTTCTGCAGTATGAGGTGATTTGGGGTCCTGGGAAAGATGTTGGGCTTCCTGGCTGCACATGAAGACTAAATGTCTAGCTCATTCCTTCTTTATAGAGAGGATGGGGGCTCAGATGGACCGAGGCTTAAATGGACAAGGTTAGTTCAAGATCACTCAGCTTTCTTCTTTGATTGATCTCAAACTCCAGGCTGTCTGACCCTGGGTCTATCACCTGGAACTATTGCAGGTCTGTGTGACACCAGAGGCCTTCTCTGGGCACACACAGAATATACATGGGATCTGCACATGGCCCAGGGCCGGGGAAGGGGAAACAAAGCACAGCAGCACCTGTAGTCAAAGTCCCCATCCTTGCCGTCTAGGAAGCGCTGGTGCATCCGGGTGGTGAACTCCTCCCGAAGAATCAGCCTCTCTTCTGTGTCAGGCACCCAGGCCTCTGAGTCTTTGCCAGACTCCTGGTCTGTGGAGGGAGACACCAAGGAAGGGTGGCTTGAACATGAGTTCAGAGAACTGCTTTTGTAGCTCAGTGGTAGAGCACTTGCCTAGCACATGTAAGGCCCTGGGTTTGATCCCCAGCACAGCAACAAACAAACACAAACAAGGAAACAACTCTCCCCAACCCCCAGAGAGCTGCTGCTTCCATGACCCACCCCATGCCATGTGGCAGAGGATACACGGCAGTGATTGTGATAGCCCAGGTCCCTATTCTCCAGGGATGCACATGAAACACCTAATGACAGTGCAGATTTCTGGAGATCGTACACCAAGGTTAGGACTGAGGTATGAAGGCTAAGGCAGGTGGGCATTCATTTCTGCAGAAGGAATGAAGATTGTACCAGGTCATCGAGGGCAGGGCAGGGATGCTGGCGATGAGAGGCTCGCAGCAAGGAGGGTAAGGGGAGGCAGGCTGGGGCCTGGAATGGAGCTGGGGCATCCAGACTCTGGAGCCTCCTTGCTGCTGGTTCTCACCTTCCTCGTCACTGTCCTCCTCTTCTTCCTCTTCCTCCAAGCAGGCTTCTTCCTCCTCCTGCTGCTGGAGTAGCCGCTGCTGCAGCTCCCTCTCTTGGTAGGACTGGAGCAACAGGTCGGAGAGCGGGCAGGCGGGTTTGCTTGGGGACCCAGGTCTGGGGGCCTGAGGGCCCGGTGTGCGTGTGCTGAGCTCCTCCTGGGTGAGGTACTGCCCAATATACTGCTCATACAGCAGGGGGGCCCGGAACCGCATCTGCTCATCGCTGAAGTACTCGCCCCCTGCAGAGGAGAGCTGGGTGGGCGTGCCTGGGTGGACATGTCCGTGCGTGTGCCTGTGTGTGCACGCACGTGCATTCAGACCCAGAGGGAAATACGTGCAGGCACCTAAAGTCATGTGGGCGTGAGTGGTCACTTACATCTCCACTGATCACGTGCACATGACCAGGCCTACGTCTGCCTGTGTATCCATGTGAACAAGTATGTGCGCATAGGCAGAACCCCTGAGCCTTTGCCTATGGTGTGTGTGCGGTCGCACGTACAAACAAATGTTCTTCTGTGTCTCAGCACCCTGCCCATAGGCACCTCTGTCTCTGGGAGTTGGCATGTGAGACAACAGACAGGTTGTGTGTGCCTGTCTGTGCAGCCTGTCTGGCTGTCAGTGTAAATGACTAGAGGCCAGCCCTGTTGGACATCCGTGTGCATCCATCCATGTATCTGACATGTGTGCACACAGTAAGGTCAGGAGAGGCATCTGCTCTGTGCCCGATGGCAGCTGGGCCATCTTGCGTGGCCATGTGCACAGGAGAGGCCCGGCCTCAGCTCTGACCTTTCCCCCACAGTGCTCCTCTCTGCAACCTTTCCTTCAAGTGGGCCTGGTGTACCCATCCGGGTCTTTCCTGGCTGTGTGTTCTTGCAGAAGCAGCTCTGTCCCCTGGGTAACAGTTAAACCTGCCACTGGCTTCTCCCACACAAGGCCCTGCGCTGTCTCCAGTGCCCAGGGCCCACAACCCACCTAGAATCCTGGCTTCTGCAGCACTGTGGTCTGTGACTGTCCCTGTCCTGTTCGGCTTCCCCAGTCCTCCCCTTGCCTTATCCCATCTCTGAATCTGCTACTAGATTCTGTTTCTGTCCTTCCTCCTGGCTCAGATGAGTTGGGGCCGGGCTTGGAGCCATGGAAAGGAATGCAGTGACAACCCTCTCTCCCTTTGGGTCCTTCAGTTTCTCCCCTGCTCCTGCTTTATCCCCACCTCTGTCATTTGTTTTGTTTTGTAACCTTACCCTGCCACATTCATTCACTAGTCTCTGCTCTTCTTCATGCTTGTTCCTCTACCTTTGTTGTTTTTTCTGTATCAGTCTCTCTAAGCTTGCACCTCTCCCATAACTCCACTCATTTTCTGTCTCATTCACTCTTGTTAACTGTGGTTTTGGTGTCTTTGGTCACATGATGTCCTGTTTTTAATTGTGTCCAGGTCAATAGAGTATCTATGTTTTCCTTCATGGTTTTCACATTTTGTTCAAGGAAGCCTCTCCATATCCAAGTCATAAACACATTTCACTTGGTTTCTACTAGTGCCTTTGTACATGTTGTGGGGTCAGGACCTTGTGTTCCATAGGGACAGTGAATTATCACAGTATTGTAGAACAGAACATAGAAATGTTTTCAGTCCACTGCTAACTGGGCCGCTTCTGTCGCCTGCTAAATTCTGGCCCTTTCTCACTGTGTGCCCCTTCTCTTTTCCAGATACCATCTGTACCCACATCTTTCTGCTTTATTTCACATTTCTGTCTCTGTGTTTCCCTGTCCCTTTGTTGCACAAATTTTCTCATAGCTGGGCATGGTGATGCAGGCCTATAATCCCAGAACTCTGGGAGGTGAGGCAGCAGGACTGCAAGTTTGAGCCCAACCAATGTAGCAAGACCTTGTCTCTTCAATTCAAATATAGTAAAAACAAAAACATGGAAAATACTTTTTCTTATAGGTTGCATTTCTGCTCTTGCACCCTTGTTTCTCAGTCCCTCTGCCTGTCTCCCCCAACGTCCTGTCTCTGCCTTGGTCCTCCCTTCCTCTCCATCTTTGCCTCCTCACACCCAGGGGCCCCTCACACCTTGGATAAGTTCACGCAGGGCAGCATAGCGCCGGTTTCTCAGGCGGGTGCGTAGAGCGCGTGGCCGGGCAGTGCCCTGCCGAGCCACCTCGGCACAGTAGAAGTCAGCACGATGGTCACCACGCAGGTGGCCAAAGCAGGCCAGGTGCTCCTCTCGGAGGCCCGTGCGGAAGCGTTCCAGGAACACCAGCGGCTTCTCGTGGTATAGCTGGCCCAGGATGGCCACCTTCTCTTGCTCTGTCAGGTCAGGCTCACCTTGCTGCTGGCTGCACACAGGCAGGCGGCTGGAAGCCACAGCGTACAGCATGGCAGTAACTGCCGCATTCTCAGTTCTGGGGTTGTCACTGTCCAGGGCCTCTGGTGTGCTCTCCGTCACTTTCACTGTGCCCTGGGGTTTAGATGGAACTGGAATCTGGCTCAGCTCCCCCCAGTGCCCAGTTCTGGGCTCCATGCAGCCTGCAAGAAGGGAGATTTATTAGTTGAGGGATGGAACTGCAGGAAGGGGAAGGAACTGGGTAGCTAGGGGCTGGATGCTCACTCAGTTCACATTTACTGATCACCTACTATATTCTGGGCTCTGTTCTGAGTCCTAGAGAGACCACAGTAAGCAAAAGAATGACATTTTATTTATTTTTCGGTACTGGGGATTGAGCTCAGGACCTTGTGCTTGGGAGGCAGGCGCGGTGCCCCTGAGCTAAATCCCCAGCCCAAGAATGACATTTTTTGTGGGACACACAACTAAAAACATAATTACTGAAAAATATATAATTGTATAAAGTACTTCCCTGGCTAGGCAAAAAAATAAATAGGGAATCAGGAAGGAATGAGGGATGGCTGCAATTTTAACTGAAAGGTCAGAGAAGAGTTTGCCAAAAAGTGACATCCGAGTAGCGATCTGAGATGGGAAGGGATGGATATTTCTCAAATGAGAGTTCCACGCAGAGGGAACAGCCAATGCAAAGACTCTGAAGCTTGGCTTACTGATTTACTCAATTCTTTGCCTTTTCACTTGCTCACACAATTAGGAATATAGTCCTTAGTCCCTCAACTCATTCATTCTCCTCTCTTCTGCACTCATACGTTCCCTCAACCACTCTTCAGCCACTTAATGCTAGGCAGGGCCCTGAGCCAGGCGATGCAGAGGATTCACAGGAACAATTCAGTCTGGCTCTTGCCCTCAGGACCCAGAACACCCAGTTTGATGTGAGAAACAGTCCAGATGAAGGATCATACAGGCAAAGATAACAGGAAAGATGGGTGCCAGGCAAACCTTGCTGAGAGCTGTTTTCCAAGTATGGCGGGAAAATGCAGCAAGCAGAAAATAGTGAAGGCCGAGAGCAGTGACGACACCTTTAGGGAGCTGAGCTGGGATGGGGGGCAGAATGGATGATGGCTGCAGGTGTCATGGTTTCAATCATCGAGATAAGAGAAGACAGGGCCGGGGATTTAGCTCAGCGGTTCGGTGGCCTGCCTTGCAAGCACAAGGACCCGAGTTCAATCCCCCGTACCAAAAAAAAAAAAAA